TGAGGTGATAGGCCCGTGCGGAGCACGGGCAATTTCATTGAAATTCTGCTACAGCAGCCGTTGGGCCCGAGTATGCACCCATGAGTGTGGGTTGTATAATGCTCAGGTATCTTCTCGGAGTGTTCATCGAAATTCTGTAACAGACTTTAATGTTTCTTCATCCAGTTAGATAATGTGAGTATTCTATCCCGGCGACACAATCTGGGCACATAGCTATGGACTTTGCTGAATGGCTGGTTTGGCATTTTGGGGAATCGTGATTCACTGTATACGAATTATTCTGCATGTACATACGATTCAATATCAGGTAAATGTACGATCATCGCTTTTGTTGAGGCATACGCATTAAATGATGGATAGTCGAATGAGGAACAGGATAACCTCTTTCATATACAGAAAATTCGATGATGAATGTTCGGGAATCAGTCTGGAAGCCAGTCTTGTAACTGCGACAACAAATAGGAAGCCGAGCAGAAAATGGTGCAATGAAGTCCACAACAGCACTAGCCTAGAACGGTTTGGCGTGCCACCCCACCTCACAGGCCTCGGCCAGCATCGCGACTTGAAAGTCCCCGGGTCACTTCCTCGCTATTCCCGCACCTACACTGACCTTTTGAATCACCCCCACCATGTCCGACGCCGCCGCTGAACCCAAGAAGGAGAAGTTCGCTCCAAAGGAGCCTGTTACGCTGAACCCTCCCAAAGATGACATCATCGAGAGGGATTATTTGGCAAAGTGCGATGGTAAGGCTGTCTCTAAGCAACCGCAATCTGGATTGTTTTTGGAAGACCGGATCGACTGACAACAGATTCAGGTACAAATGAAGGTTACCCAACATTAGTTGCTATCAAGGTATATTATTGAACCCATCATCGAGATGTTATCCCGAGGCACGTGCAGTGGAACTGACGGTGATCTAGGGCGACGTCTTTGATGTCAGCGGCAAGGAGACATATGCGCCTGGAAAAGGCTACCACGGTTTGTTTAGCCCCAGCCCTCTTTCTATAATTGAATGCAGCTAACAAACCATCCCAGTTTTTGCGGGCAAGGAGCCTAACCGCGCTCTTGGTCTGTCTTCTCTCAAGCCAGAGGATTGTATATCCGATTACTCCGGGTTGTCTGAGAAAGAGCTGGGAGTTTTGAATGACTGGCACACGTTTTTCAGCAAGCGGTACAATATTGTAGGACGACTAAAGGCGGAAAGCTCGAATCTGTAGACGAGGTTCGTTTTCTCAGTTGATTCGCGCATATCATGTTGTAGAAAAGGCCATCTATCGACACCTTGGACATCTCCAAATCACACATACTCATTCAAATGATCGCTAGCGTCGAAGCTTAGACTCTCAACATGCATATTTGTATTTGATTATATAATCCAGCAACGACTGTTATTTTCTTGTCCTCAACTTGATGACCACTAAACGACCTGATATCCGACATTACACCACTCAGAATTTTACACAACCCCCATATAAACCATCATTCTCCCGTCTTTCAAGCTGGCGCTTTGATCATCAATCCAATGAGGGATTGTACTACTTCTGCAGCTGCCAAAACTGTTGTCTCGCCGGCATTGTCGTATACAGGGGCAACTTCAACTATAATACCAAATGTTGTCAGAGTCTAGTCGGTTTGAACAGCGGTGGATCGTGAACACAACAAGATACATACCAACATCAGCGCTAATTACATCCATCCCCTCAAGACCATCCAGGATAGAGAGTAACTCTCGTGTGCTCCAGCCACCAACCTCGGCAGTTCCCGTGGCTATAGTTTACATCAGTTACACCGTTTAACGTTAAATTACTGGCCATAATCTATTCCCACATTGTAACAATGCAAGTATCGCGCCGCGTAGTGATATCAGGTCAGAACTCACCAGGAGCAAAAGCCGGGTCCAGCACATCGATATCAACGCTGATGTACACCTTACTATCCCCCACTCGCGCCTTCAACTTCTCGATAACTCCCAATACGCCAATGCGATCAATGTCCCGGGCCTTGACCATCTCAAAACCACAGCGGATATCATTTCGGATATCACCTTTTGGTCGTAAAATTGCTCCTCGGATGCCAGCGTGGATCGATGAATTCCTGATCAAGCCTTCTTCGTGTGCAATGTGCAGAAACGTTCCATGGTTGACGCCACTGCAATATTCGCCTTTAGTAAGTCGTACACAGAACAAGATTGGAGATATACTTACGCGTAGTGGGAGATCCCTCCGCCTATCATACATTAGCAAGTTGTCGTACAAAAGGAAATATTGAACTTACCCAACACATCTGGATCCCAAGTGTCTGGTCGACAGTCAGCGGAAATCAGCTAGGGAGATTGGTCTGGCTTACCTAAATGGCTGTCGAAATGAATCACACTGACTTGACCCCAGTGGTGATAGGCTGATCGTAGCGCAGGTAATGTGGTGGTGTGATCGCCCCCTAGAGTGATAATCTTTGGTGTACCACCATGCTCGGTTGAGTTGGTTTTTCTGGAAGAGATGATCTTGAAGCCAACAATCAGTCAAAGTCTCCATTATAGTTAGAGGTGGGCTACGGACCTTGTGGGATCTGTCAAGCTGCTTTAGGGCTACTGTGTTGTCCTGTTACATTTCTGAGTCAATCTTGCTTTTGGTGTTGTGCGTGGGTGGCATTACCAAGAAAGTCAACGGAGCATCACCGCAGTCGACTATCTTGGCCCAATCGAAGTAGACATTTTCTCCTGTTTGAAATTAATCTTGGTCGGTTCTCAGACTGTAAATAGTTCCGAAAACAATCAAGAAAGGAGAATAAGGCGACGCCGAGATGGCGGTTTTCAACAGCCAAGTGTTACACTAGTGCTGCTGATTCGTGCACGATCTTTTGCGATTGTTACTCGCAGTGACCTTGTTACGTGCGCAAATTTCACACGTAATAGCTTTTGCAGCCGAATTCCACACTCGAGGAAACGACTGTACCACCTAGAAACTTTCATGGCATCTCTACTTACCATTATAAACGCTCCACAAAGGACCTAGCCGACGTGATCCAGCTCGAATGCCACTAGGGCCGAAGCGCGCTCCAGGACGAGCAGTTACAGCCTACCAGTCATCAGCATCCGCCTCATTCACACCTTTCCCATATACAATATTTGCGCCCGGCATAGTGTGTGACTTACAGTGTCGAATGGCGCGCCAAGGATAGCAATGTCAAACGGCTCAACATCGTCTCCTTCGGGCGCGAGACAATGTACATATGGCAGGTTGGCATATGTCGACAGTCCTGCAAACTTGGCTTGAGTAACATCGGACTCGAATAGTCCCTGAGGAATAACCTGCTGAGATCCGTATCCGGCGACGGGTGGAAAAGTGATTTCCCGGGTGTACGCTACGGTGAGGAATGGCGCAATGGACAGCAACGAGGTAAGCGCCATGGTGAAGAGAAGATGCTGTCAGAGGAATTGGTGGTGAAGTAGAGAGTGTTATGTAGAGCTGCGGTGTATCTATGTACTGTGCCTCTATGCTGCTTGTAGCCAATGGCGATAAGAAGCATTTCATTCTCGAACGGGAAGGTACTGCCGACCCGAGTTTCCCCTCACGGCAACGACTGCTAGCCGCGTCTTCCGTTCAAGGGACGGATAATAATCCTTGTAGACATTCAAAGTTATACGCGATTGCATGCCACGTCTTCTATCTCTTATCTGTCACAAAAATACCCCCTAGATCTCATTTGCAGGTGTAATTCGTTACTCGCTTGGCCATGGCCAAAAACGGTTGTAGTAAGTACAAGGTGATGTTGCGTTTTGAATCCAAGTGTTTCAGCGACTAATCATCGCCGTGACTTCACACTCGTATAACAATTTCCCCAACGCCAGACTTGCAACTCCAACGACTGTATCCGGGGGGCGATGTCCATCTGCTTTCTTATCCATGAATTCTATCCATTCCTCGCCCCAACCTCTCTCCACGACGTCCTTTGCATCTTGCTCTTTATCACCCGTTTCCTTAACAATGTAGTGCCGGACGAAGACCTAGAATTGAAAGCATTGTCAGCAACATGCCCGTAAATTTCCCTTTGCGGTAACTTGATGCTTCTTAAGTTGCGTCAAGGTCCCGGGGGGCGTACAATATCTCGCGGTGTTGCGCCAGCAGCTTCTAAACACTTGTAGATGCTTTCATAAGCAGCTTTGGCTTGTGCCTTAATACCAGAAGGCACCGTGCCATCTTTTTGTAGGCCTGTTTGGCCGGCGAGCGTAACCAAGGCGGATGAAGCGACTATTGGAGTGACGCAAACTTGGGAGTAGGTAGGTGGTGGCTCTACCACAGAAGGTGGGTTGAATGCATTCGGCTTGTTGGACACCATGATGAGGTTGTTAGTTAAGGTAATTACATGAATACGTATATTTGTAGATATTCCTTACTACGAGTCTTACTATGAAGCTATGCCTCGGCATGAGGGGTACATTCGGTTCCACCTGACGTCATCGATTAGTACTTGCTTGATATGTTTATACCTGCCAGTTTCGCTCCCATTGTACAATCTTTTTACTCTTTGAAAGACGGACCGCAAGTTACGCTTTAACTTACTAGTACTAGAAATTAACAATCCAATTACCTCTGTTGGAATCAATTAGGACTCGACTTTGAGTCCTACTGATCCGCGACACTGATTGGTCGACACGAGCACTGGCAAAGGCGTCGTCACCGCCTATTGGCCCGTGCGCGGAGGTACTGTAGATACTCAACACGATAACAGATACAATCAATCAATCCGCTTCCTCACTATAGTATTTGCAGCTGCAAGTTGATTCACCACGTGCACCTTTATCGTGCCAACAACCTCCATGACACTTTTAACATTGACTTCAGGTATCGTAACCGTTGTCAAAATACCTCAAGAAAATTCCACGTTCTCTGCTCACCTCGAGCCATCCCGTAAGCAATTTTTCTATATTTACTCAATCTCTATTTATCCATCATTCTGGCTGTGGTTGATCTTCCTCCCACCTGATTTCGCACCAAACCCCAAAATGATCACTAAAATGCGCCTTTTCAACCAATTCCATCCCATCAGCCGACATCTTCTCGTCACAGGCTCCCACTTCGCTCGTTTCCAAGACGCCCATGGTCAAAGGATTAAGATTAAACAGCGCAACTTTATCCAACCGGTTTGGCGGAAAAGTGTGTTCGCCATATACACCCCAAGTATGACCCGGGTCATTCGGACAAAGTTGCATCCACGCATCGGTAAGATCATTTGCACGCACCAGGTCGTCATCTTCCTGGAGAACCGGATTGAAATCCCCAGCGATGATTCCATGGCCCGCTGCGCGAAGGTACAACGCGCAGATGGAAAGCTGAACGGGTCTGAGCGACGGATTGATTGACAGGGAATCCAAGTGGACGTTGATGAGTCGAATCCGAACGGAACTTTTACCAGGGATGTGTTCGCTTGAAGAGTTGAGAAGCATATCGCAGCATAAGGCGTCTCTGCCAAAACGACTTGGTAAGGGGATTCTCCAGATGGCGCCGAGCAGAATACCTTCTGTGGCTACCCAAACTTTAGACACCAGGGTGACGCTGATGAACTTCTGGGTTCCAAACGCGGAAGCATCGATGTCGCTTATGTACCATTTTTGCTGTATCCAGGGTTCTCCAAGAAGTGCTGCAAGCGCGTCCTTTGATACTTCTTGAAGGAAAATAACATTTGTAGCTCCGGTAGTTTTGATAACCTCCAGCAGTGCGGATATACGAGATTTTGGGAACGGTGCATCCGCATTTACGTTCCAAGTCACGAGACGGAGTGAGCCTACCCATTTATGCTTGATGCTGGACTGAGAATTTCTGTCGCTAAAGAATGGCATCCATCGATCTTGATCAAAGGCGTGCCACTTTTGGAAGCTAGGCGGTGCTGTAGTTATTGGTAGAGGTGTCTGCTGCCACCATGACTGGACGTGGGTGCGTAGTTGCGAAAGCATAACCAAATTGAACTTGCAGTGTTTGTCGGGGGTTGTAGAGTATAGAAGGGCGGTTATTTAGTTATTAACATAGTGACAGAGTAAAGTGAAGCCATATTTGTTATCGCAGAAGTGAAGGCAATAGCGGTCTACAATATACGTTCACCAATTATGAACAAGCCATTATACCGTACCGCTATTGCCTACCACAATCCAGTGGTGAAAATGAACATACCACCTATACAGCACCCAAGTAGGCTATATGGTACATGGACATGTACATCACCCCCCCACTTTTTAGCTAGGATCAATAGTGACATCACCACGAGCCTTCACACGACATCACCCCAACACAAACCGATCCACCAACCCAACGAATACCAGAACTGGGTCGTACACAAGTCAATGCATGATTGGATCATAGTACCAACGCAATGAACGCACCCAAGAACCCCTCTATCCACACCCGGACGAATAAGAAGCATCATGCCGCGCGCCCGCCTCCGTTGCAAATGCGGGGAAACGCTCCATCCAGAAAAGTGATATAACAGCATGCTCGCGCGACAAATCCCCATGGTAGTACACTGAAAACGCTCCACTCCCACCCAAATTATGGCGTCCAGCTGGTTCAGCAACACCTCCTCAAAAGAGGCACCGTCTGACCCTCCCGACCTCCGCATCCAAGTCGCCGACCAACGCCCTCACGATTTCTACCTGCAACCCAGTTCCGGGCTCAGTTCCGCAACAACTACTTCCAACCTCCCGAAGATCGCAGTCGACAGAACGCATTCCAAGACACACGTGTATAGTGCGTCGCTGTTCGATGTCGGGATCCTGAAAGATACGCTTGTTCCTTCTTTCTCGCTGCATGCGGGTTTAGCGGTGTTGGCATACGGGGCGGCGCGGTATACGGATCGGGTTGAAGCGAAGGACTGGTTGTGGCCTAGTGGACAGGTTGTCAATGCGTGGTGGTCTGCTGTCGGCCGGCGTGTAGCTGCTGGGTACACTGTCTCGCAAGCTTTTAGTCGGTTGTCCTGGCATGAGCGGGTTATGCTCACTGGCGTCACGTTGTGGGGAGGCCGCCTCTTTTACCGTATTGCAAGAAGGTCTATTCAGCGGGGTGAAGATGATCCGCGGTATGTGGAGGTAAAAGAAGAGGATGGGTTCTGGAATACTGCGCTTTTCAAGGTTTTTATTCCGGAGGCTTTCTTCCAGATGCTGATCAGTTTGCCGTTTACTGCCCCTTTCCGTCATGAAGGTGCGGTTATGACGGGTTACCATCCTCTGGTCCAGATGCTGGCAGTTGGCTTGTTTTCGTCTGGTTTGGCCCTCGAGAGTATTGCGGATTACCAGCTTGACCAGTACAAGGCCGAGGGCAACAAGGGAATCCTGCGTGAAGGTGTTTGGAGCATTGTCCGCAACCCCAAGTAGGTTACTTCTGAGCCCCCCCTCCCCCAACATATCATTCTGGCCCTTTCTAACTTTACTCCAGCTACCTAGGTGACGCACTAGTCCACATCTCCTTCATAGTCATGCTATACGGCTCCGACATGCTTGCACCCGTCGAACTGCTGGGCCCCGCGGCAAACTACGCCTTCCTCCGCTTCTTCGGCGGCGATGCGCAAAAGGAGCAGCATCAACAACGCAGATATTCTGCTTCGTCTCCTGAGAAACTTCGTGAGTTGGAAAAGTTCTGCGCGGAGAAGAACGCATTTTGGCCTAGTGTCGATGAGCTGAAGAATAAGTGGCTGTGGACTGTGCTGGGATTCGGTGGCTTGGGAATCGCTACCGAACAGTTGCTGAGAGCATTTCACTAGGTGCTAATGATCTTCACAAATACGACAGGGAGATGTATAGGGTGTACAGGGTACACGCCACTCTTTTTCTATTTCCTTGAACAAATATCATGCAAGTCGGATTTACAACGATCTCTTTCATTTGTTGGCAATTCAATAATACGACTTGGTAAGGAATATCTTTAGTGGGTATTCTCCATACCTCACCATTTACTATATATAACCTTTGAATACAAATTAGCCGCGTTACCATATCATATAGTTCTTCTATGGGTGTGCCCTTCGTGCAGACTACAACCAACGCAAATCCAGAAAAAAAAAATTGTATATTACACATGCAGCAGTCATTTTCACTCCATTTCTCTGCACCGACGCTATCTAGCACCCAAATCCCATATCCTCAGCGTCTCTCCCTTGCCTCCTCGCTTCTTGTTACCCTTCTCCTTGCCTCCCTCGGTAAGCTTTAACATGCACTTCGACACGCCAGCCAAGCACTCCAATACCTCACTCATCCTGCCGGTTTCTAGCAGACAGTGTTGTAGCCACTCGTTACTCTTGTCAGCTATGACAACAGCAACCTCCATAGCTTTGATGGCGGGGTCCTTATTCAAGAACCATGATGCAGACTGGAGAACGGAAAGATAGGCAAGAACCATGTCGGGAATGTAGGCCTTGAGGAGATCCCACGTTTGCTCCGTCAAGTAGTGAGGGTCGGCAGCAGAATAAAGAGAGATCGAGGGCAGGAGGGTATCGAAGATGGTGGAAATGGAGTCCAGAAGAGCCTTCGTATGTTGAGTGTCTGGCTTTGCTTTGGCGCCGGTGGTCTCTTTCTGACGGTCCGCACGGATCCTGAGTTGTTCGTTAGCTGGTGTGAAATGAGGTACATGAAGAGCGGGGACTGACTGGATAAGTGCTTGCTCCTCCTCGCGCCATTCGCGGAAAAGAACGAGTAGGCGAACGATTTGCTGGAGGTTATAGTATGGCAAGCTGGCTTGACGCAATTGCATCACCAATTGCCTGTGCTGGTTGGCATCAGGTAATTGTGAAATGGGAATTGCAGCAGCCCGTGCAGCGGCTGAGAGGCTGTCGCGATGCTCATGGAGTTGACGCTCATCTTGTTCTTCTGTTCCAGGACTCATCAAATCGAAAGGATAGCCAGTAAGGGCCTCTGTACGCGACAGTGACAGAGACTCGACGCTGAGATCATTGATGACCTTCTCGGCAGCAGCTAGGCGACCGTTGACTAGATAACATATTAGCCAGGGACCGGCATCAAAACTTGTAGACAGTACTTACGAAGGAAGATGGTCAGCGCATTGTTGAGGTGCTCAAACGTGTGTTCGTAATCCTTGCCAATGTAGTTGTACCATTGCAAAGCATCAACAATAATTTCGTCTTGCTCGCTAATCTGTTCGCCATCGAATGACCGCTTTATGCGCACACCGGGCCACAAGACTTGCTCATGAGGTACGCTGACAGGCTCCAAAATCTTGAAACGCTTGATGGGGTTTGTGATGACGGTAATGCCCGCACTGTTGAAGTGGGTAAATCCACTATCCCGTGCGGCAAACGTAAAGCTTTGAGACACGACCTGGATTACATCAAGTCGATACGATTCCATCAGCGCAACGCAGTGCCGTTGCTCAGTGCTGTTCTTGATGTCGGGAAGGACGCGTGCTAGGGTATATGCCGCACGCTCTTCGATCAGCTGTGCCGCGTAAAGCGGGATGGCGTCAAAACGTTGAGTAAGGCGCAGGAACTCAATGTAAGCAGCGATGACATTGTCCATGGTTAGGAACTGTTTGTCCTGTTGTGTATCTTCAAAGAGCGTATGAAGTCCATTACGGAGGACAATGAAGATGTGCACCAAGATTCGGAAAGCGTGGGGATCTTTGACAAGGTTCTGATAGTATCGCTCCGCTTCAAAGGTCCGGTATTCTCCCGCTGGTACAGGCGATCGGTCTTCCTCTGGCGAATCTGGGTGTATGATGAGGCTGTGAGGTCGCTTGTCTTGAGCAAACATATCCGCTAGGGCCATGCCAACTTTCAGCATCAGGTCGTCAGCATCTCTGCCGATGAGCGCGCCTTGAATGAGCTTGATCGGTGAGACAGCTTGGCTGGCGGTACTCCTCTGCTGCTTTAGTATACCAACGACCTTCTTAGGTGAGGCTTCCCAATCTCCAATGTTAGCTACTGCATCTTGGAAAAGGAACTTTTGGGTCAAGCTCTCCGTCACCTTGGTCGGGTAGTTCCTTTGGAGATACGTATCGAACCGGGAAAGAAGAAGGGCGTTGTAATGAGCATAAAGATGGTCGTCCCAAGATCGGCAGACTGCTTGTACTTGCTTCAAGTCTCCACTCAACAGACCGTATACGGCGCCTTCATAAGGTATCCGTGCCCCTCTCGCGGCGTAGAAACACATGCGGCGGAACAAATAGCCAACAGTTGGTCCAGCAACATTGGGACCACCTTCAGGGTGACTCTCGTATGCTGCTCCAATGCTGACTCCGCGCCAGGATTCGTTTCGTTCGTAGCACCAGTCGACAATGGTTGTCCATGGTAGTCCACGGCGCATCATCTCGTATGCAACCATCCAAAGGGAACGCTCGTAGTACTCGTCGTTCTTTTCAAGCGCACGCTTCTGCCTGGAGGGAGCATCTGGGTCGAGCTGTGTAACAAGATTCGCAGTCTTGTCCGAGGTCTGGATGTTTGTGTTGGCGGGCTTTAATGGCTGTTCGGCCCCCTCCATACGCTTCGCCTGCTTGATCTTCGCTTTGGTGTCGAGCCAGCCACTTGTCCATGTATGCGCGCCCTTGCCCGAATGCTCCTCGAGTGCTGCGGTAATGGCCTTGACATCGCTTTCGCTGTCTCGTGCTGTCTGCTCCAACCAGCGAAGAACAAGAGCCTTCTCTTTCGCCTGGTCATCCTCCAGTATGAACCTGTCCCAAATTTCGCTATTCTTGCAGTACCGTGCAGTGCCTCCAGCAGTTTCCAAACGCGCCTTCTTCTCTGCAGCCACATCGGTATCAGGATCGGGGTGGTAGTGTTCGATGACGAGCTTGAGCAGTTTCCACGTCGCAAGCTCCGCCTGCCATTCTCGAAGCTCCTGGACGTTTGCGGAAACAGGGGCGGTGTTGTTCTCAATCGATGAATTGACGGATTGGGAGGACTGAGCAAAGAGACTCTGGGGCGCATTCTCCGACGCATCTGCCATGCTCTGTATCTGCCGCCGGATGGTTTTGCTCAGACTGCCCTTGTTCTCTGCTTCCGTCGTCCGCTTCAACTCCTTGACATGAGATTCTGCGACATCCTGGAATTTGCCGACCAACTTGACCGTGGTGTGGTACTTGGCCCTCTTGGAGTCGTTTCCATGTGTATGCCAGTGGTCGACTCGCTCTGCAAACTTCTCGACTTCTTTGCCTACGCGGTCGGCCATTGCGCGCAGTGGTTGGAGCGGATCGTTTGAGATGGTGCCATTTGTTGGTCGGGAAGCGCCAAACAAAAGCGCATTACTATTTGGCGACTGAATCCGGTGTCAGCTGCCATGGAATCCATCTATGGGTGTTGTCGTGGGCGAGGCTGGAAGCTGTTTGATGACTTACCTGTGCTGCAGTCGACTGCGACTGGCGCGAGAAGGGTCGTAGCGCCATGTTAGGGAAAAAGGAAGGGAGCGTAGGATATGGCAGACGACAAGGAGATGCGGCGACTGTAGGCCGGGGTAGTCGGAGACTTGTCAATGGGTTGGTGAGGGCCTGGGATGGCCGTGGTTGAGCGTCCTAAGCCCGTCACAAAACAGAAGTCGCGCCCGGACGTGCCTGGCGGGTTAGCGTGTTGCCAAGAACGGCGCGCGCTAATGCAAAAGTACAAAAACCTCGTTGGGGATGCGCTCCGCTGCTCTTTTCTTTCTTTACAATGTTTATAACCTATACATGTGCTACTATAGAGTCTCGTCGGAAATTTGTCAGTGTTCTACGACGCGCTCATGCCATGTTAGAGAAACACACTTCCTGGTAAAACCGCCTGGACTTTTTCGGAAGTTTGATGGTGCGGACAAGAAAGAAAGTGTTACATGCCCTTTTTCCAGCTACGACTGGCTGGCTGTGGTTCTTATTCTGGGAACTAATGATACAAGGCCGTATCCGGCGGTGATCAAGACTGGATTCTATGAGATGCCTTTGGCGCGTTGTTGCATTTTGAGCCTGCTTTCTGTTAGCCTAGCAGCGACATGGCGACAGACTCGATCATACTTCAAAAGCGGATATTTCGGACAGCTCACGGTGCTTGCTTTCTCGCCCTGTCTTTGGTAAAAGGCATTGCAGCACTCATACAATGCGTCCACCTGGGACTTGTCAATTGTTGTTTTGCAGGATACCGTATTGCTGCCTCGGGCCATGGGAACCAACCTCTTTCCTGCACTTTTCTTCGTTGTAGTTGTTCCTCTGTATGCAATCTACCGCTACTTAGCTTCATACACGTACTGCATTTCCTGCGCGACACACTTTGAATTGCACATGCCCGTGGATGGCAAGGAGGGTCTGTCTGCAAATCTCTCTCCATTTCTCCCTGTCGTCTTGTCAGTGCGGCTGTCCTACCCAGTTCTCTCAGCGTGACATCATATAACCGTACCATGGTCAATCCGCCCCAAAGTACCGCAAAACTATCAAATCTCATGTACTAGGAGACTACAATTGTGAGACAGGAAGCGATTATGTAAAGGACAAAGTCAGGCGGCCCTAGTTTTGCGGATACGGTAGATGGGCAAGGTGAGGCCGGAGGGCTAGAAACGGCCAAAGCTTGGTGAGCGAGACCCCCACTAATTCCGAAGTGCTCACCTCAGTCTTGCGCCTTGATCCTTCACAATCGTCTTTTCACGCGTTGCCACCGCTGCTGCAGTCCCATCCGACGCGTTTGCTCGCCCTCACTAGACGCTTCTATCACCCAGCCCGATTTGCAAGCCCGCCCGCCGGTATTAAGGTACGACTATCTCCGCACCACACATTGCAGCCTCGTCCCGCGCGGCAAATCGTGCCCTCCTCCTTCACCTCCCGCTCCACCTCCCATCCACCCCACGACTGACCCTCCCATTTAAAAGCCTCCAGCCTAATCCCCTTGCTACACAGCATCCCAGTCGCACAATCAACAGCCACCACCCCTACTACCAACATGTCCGAGAACGGTTCCCCCAACAACGTGCAGCAGAAGCCCGAGGATGGCGGCCAGAGCGAACACCTGAACATCAAGGTCACAGACAACAACAACGAGGTGTTTTTCAAGATCAAGCGCACCACGGCCCTCGGTAAGCTTATGAACGCCTTCTGCGACCGCCAGGGCAAGAACATCTCCAGCGTCCGATTTCTCTTCGATGGCCAGCGTGTCACTGCCCAGGACAACCCAGACACGGTACGTAGCCAACTTCCTTTTTTGCCGCCCATCCGCCCTCCACTGCCGCTAATCTTTTTTTGTTTTCCTCGCTTCCTTTTTTTTCGCGGGGTACATGGGCCGTTAGCCTAACAACACACACACACACACACATACACGCATGCACACATGTGGACTAACACGGTATAGCTTGACATGCAGGATGGCGACACCCTCGAGGTCCACCAGGAGCAGATTGGCGGATGCTGACCAGCGTCATGGACTACATGGCTTTGTCTGGAGCGTTGCTATGCCCTGAATATCCGGCGGCTAGACAACTGACTGTCTATACCTCCCAAGCCAACCTAACCCAACCAACCGACCTTGCGACTTGCCCGAGACGTACGAAGATATAACTGCTTTAAGCGAAGGCGTGGCGAAAAGAGTTGACCTTGTTCTTTTCTTCCCTTTTTTGCACTTTTTTTCTTTTATTTCGCTGTCAGATACGGATATCACGGATTTTCTGGCGTCATGGTACTACCAAGCTCCGTCTTTGGGCGGTCCCCTCTTGGTGTTCTTCATTCAGGTAGTAGTGGCGGCGGCGGCGGCGGCGGGTAGGTGGATTTGCGGATGCGCTTTAACGCGGGAGATGATTTGAAATTCACTACATTTACTGTTCTTCCATCTGGTCCTTGATGCCTTGGGAAACCCCCGTGTGCTGCGCGAATGGCACAGTGGAATATCGTGACGTGATGACGCAACTTTGCCTATACAAGCAAAAGGCTAATTGTGCATTCTCCACAAAGTCTTGTATATAATGACAAGGTACAACCCCTACATCTAAACGCATGCAATGAGGAAAAGCAAAAAGGCTAATCGTACATTTCCCTTAAATCTTATATTTTTATATACAAAACGGTGAGGTTTCATGCTTCTCATCCAACATCTAGCTCACACAGCCCAAGTATCCCAACTCTAACACACAAGGAAACCCGACAAACTAATCATCCCAAACAGCCTTCTTCCTCGCCTCCCTCGCCTCCGCCTCCCTCTTCTCCCTCTCCTTCTCCTCCGTCCGCCTCTTTCTCTCCTTCTCCCTCATAACGCGATCATACTCTCTTTCCTCCTCCGTCCGCCTCGGCGCCCGCACCCCCAACGCCCCCGCAATCATCCTCCCGGCCACCGCCGTCGTCTTCTCAGGCCGCTTATCCGGACTCGCAGGGCTATTCCTACTCCGCGGTCCGTCACTACCAATGCTGTACCCTACATTGTCGCCGTGAGGGTACTCGAATTGCGTGGGTGAGGCGGGGGTGGGAGGTGGGGGGTTCGGGGGCACGTCGGTGTCGTCGGTGTGGGAGGAGGTTGTTGAGAGGGGTTTTAGGGCGTCTTGGGGTGAGGATTTGCCGTCTTGCGGGTCTTGTTGGGATGCCTTGCCCTTTTTTGTGGTGGAATTGCTGGTTTCGGTCTCGGTGTCGGAGGAGCTGAGGGCGTCGTCGTCGTCCCAACTGTCGGCTACCGGCTTGGATTTGGGTTTCTTGAGGGGCTTCTCGGGATGTGAGGGCGAGAGCTTGAGGTTGCCGAGGGTTTTTGCGATTTCTGTGTGAGAAGGAGGGTTAGTTTCTCTGGTCGTTTGTATAGATGGGGATAGGACGACGGTGCTTACCTTCTTCGCTGGGTGTCTTGTGGATGGGCGCCATATTCGTTTTGTTGTTGTATTCCGTTGTGAATTGCCCCCGTTGCTGACGTCCACACGAGTATTTGTAAGGGTATATCGTCTTAGGCTCCTTTTTTCCACGGGTTTCGCAGGGTCAAAGCAACCGTACCAGTCCTTTGTCTAGTACCCTATTCCAAATTGCTTGGAAAGATGCGGGGATAAGCGTTCGTTTGGTGGCTTTCCTAGCGGCTGGAGATGGAAACTTTAATCCAAGTAGTTCGAAAACGGCGATTCAGTCGACTCTGTTCGAGTGAGAGGGATAAAGGAAAATCACTCAAGTCGCAATGAGCCGTGAATATGAGAGGTGGTGTTCGAGGAATTGATGAACCAGGGTTTATTTTAGGTTTGTTTGCAAATGGTAAAGCAGAAGTCAAAGTCAAAGTACCAAAAGTCAAAGAGAGGGAGAGACAGGCGAAATAAGTACTACTCAAGAAACTCGTAATACACAAGCTTCCCACCCAGCAAGGGCGCGGGGAGACACTGGGGTGGGGCGGGCGGAGGGAGACGCATGCAACCTCGAACCTTGGTTTTCCCTGCTTGGAGGTTCCGGTCGAGAAACAAATTCCCCCCCACCTTTTGGCTTGGGTTGTGGGGAAAGGGCGCGCGTCACCCCATGAGCACATACACAAACGTTGTTTATTACGTCTGCGCTTCATCTCCCCGTCCCTTTCCGATCAATGCTATGGTTTCCATGCATAGTAGCGGACCCACCTCTTTGTTCTTTTCTTGTTGCTACCCAGAGTTCTAGAATCGCTAGTCTTTTACCCTGCCCCAGCATGCTTGGGGAGTTTTTTTATGGCTACTCTTCTCGGAACGCCTTTTTGGGTGTTATTTGGCTGGATGATGACGAGAGGTGAGAAGAATTGTGTTTTCCATACTTGTTGCTCAATCGTTTGAAATTCGGTCTTGCATTATAGGCAGGAATTCTAGGAACATCGTGGAAGCGTTCTATACATAGCTACACATACATCTATATCTCTCCTTTTATCCGCTATAGGCAATCTCGCCGCGATGCGATAGCATGACCATGCAACTTTTGTGAAGCTGTCGATACATGTGCAATTTTTAGCTACAATTGTATCTTTACATATCCTATGCATATACGTGTGGCGATGTGCCTCAAGCATTGCCTGTTCAACCACACTAGCTGCAAAATCTCAATAGAAAAATTGTGGGCGCATACGACCATATTTGTTGCGTGTTCCCTCTGCCTATTAGCAATGATTCTAGACACTCGTAGCAATGGAACCAGACCAATAAGCACTGATCGTTACCCTTTTTGCAGTGTGCGATTCGTCATGGTGAGATCTTAAGTCTGAAAAGATCTTCAGGGTTTTGTGGAGCGGTAGATCGGCGGATATGGACATGCGCAGGTCTGGGTCGTGTGTTCTAGCTGATCCTTAGCTTGCGTCACGTGACGCGCGGAAAGGAAAGAGATCATTCTATTTTAGGGTGTTTCTAGATTGCTACGTACGCTCTTCTCTGCTCATTATCATGCTCATTTCCCTAAAGACTTCTCGGTCTTTCTCACATGTATATGATAAAATCAGTGAAATGAACAGTCTCCAAACAGAAATAGACAAGACAGTCTCGACAGTGTTCAAGAAAGTAGTGTTAGCAGGACAGCTGCATGCGCCAGAGATGACAGCCATTGCTTCTACTGGCTACTCCTCATATCTCTCTCATCAAGAACAGTGGTTTCTGCAAGCCGCGCATATATGAATGCATAGGCAGCAAGTATATTAGACTAAGCAATTACAAATCGTGAGGCCAATGCGGAATACGCTATAATGATACAGGAGAGCAGACCAGCACCCAGGGGACTATAATGTCCAAATCCGAAAAAACGCCTCTGGTCAGACATAAATACCCATTGGGTATGTTTCCCAAAAGCAGAATGCCAAACCACCCCGAAAAGAAGACCATGGGTCTTGTAAATGCGCAGATAACACCGGATATATGCAAATGCAAGCGACTGCATCATGTCATGTCATGCCTCTCCATCTTGGCTCACGTACTGGAACCAACTCTATCTCCAGAACCCTCGCCGCGCTTACTGAGTTTCTTCTTCGCTTTTCCCTTCTTCTTACTCATAGGTTCGCTGGGTGGTGAATGCGTTCCCCGACTGCCCCCCTGGCTCTCTCCTTGCTTCAGGCCCTTGACCTCCTGGAGCATGTCACGGAAGCCTTCCTCCAATGTCGTCATTCGTGCGAGCATAATTCTGCTCATACGGTTCGAGTCCGAGTCATTGTCGCTACCCTTTTGCTTCTCGCGCGCCTTCATCCTAGCAGCCATTTCGAATTGCGTCGTGAAAGATGCGGGCAGTCCACTGAGGTTGCCAAAATTAGGGTTGAGTGCATTATCTCCAATGTCCGACGCTAGGTCCAAGGCAATTGCGTTGAAAGACGGTTCTCGCGTCAAGTTGTCGTTTAAGAGCAAATTAGCCGAATTCTTCCGTGGTGGCATGATCGCACGAGGCCGAGAGCCGGGAGCGGGAGGAGGCAGTACCCGCTTAGGTGTACGTGCACCCGTCCCGCTTGAGCCCTCCAAGCGACCT